CTTCAGAAGGTGCCACCCTTAATCATTGAGGGGTAATACATGTGCATGATTTTTAAAATGCAAACTGTACAGGCTTAGTGCCTGTAGCTCAACCGCTTGGGTGCCCGCCACATACACCGGAGCTGACGAGTTTGAATCCAGCCAAACAACAATGACAACTACAACCAAAAAATAGCCAGGCACTGTGGCAGGCATCTGTAGTCCCAGCTACTTGGGAGGTTGAGGCAAGAGAATCGCTTAAGCCCAAGAGTTGGAGGTTGCTGTGAGCTGTGATGCCATGCACTCTACCCAGGGTGACATCTTGAGACTCTGTCTCAAACAAATAAATAAATAAATGTAGAATAGAGGTTAACAGAGGCTGGGAGGAGGGGGATAATTGTTTAATTTGATGCTTAATGGGATGATGAATAAGCTCTGAAAGTAGATAGTAGTGATGGTTACACATTATTGTGAATGTACTCAATGCCACTGAATTGTACACTTAAAAATGATTACTATAGTACATTTTATGTTATATCCAGGTATTTTACAATTAAAATGATTTTTTTTTGTTTTTGAGACAGAATCTCACTCAGTTGTCCTTGGTAGAGTACTGTGGCAAAAAAGAAGCAACCGGCTTACACCTAAGGTGGTGGGTTCAAATCCAGCCCCGGCCTGCCAATCAAAAATGATGGCTGCAACCAAAAAATAGCCGGGCGTTGTGGTGGGCGCCTGTGGTCCCAGCTACTTGGGAGGCAGTGGCAGGACACTCGCTTGAGCCCAGAGTTGGAGGTTGCTGTGAGCTGTGAGGCCACGGCACTCTACCCAGGGTGAGAGCTTGAGGCTCTGTCTCAAAAAAAAAAAAAAAAAAAAAGCAACCTCAAACTCTTGGGTTCTGGTGATCTTCTTGCCTCAACCTCCTGGGTAGGCTGGACTATAGGAGCCTGCCATAACACCTGGCTGGTTTTGTAGAGGTAGGGTCTCGATCTTGCTCTGACTGGTCTCAAACTCCTAAGCTCAAGCAATCAACTCGATCTTGGCCTCTCCAAATGCTGGAATTACAGGTGTGAGCCACCATGCCTGTTTTAATTAAAAAGATTTTCATTATAAACTACTGTGTTTCCCCGAAAATAAGACATTGTCTTATATTAATTTTTTCGCAAGAAGACACACTAGGGCTTATTTTCAGGGGATGTCTTATTTTTATTAAGTAAAATACAACAATCTACATTTATTCAAATACAGTTAAGTCATTTTCTTCTGGAACCTGACAGGGGGAGCTGACCTTGTCGGTGGGCTGGCGCTAGTGATGAGTGAACTCCTTTCCCCAGCTGTTCGCACGTGTGCAAGAGGATGCCTGCGACTGCAGTTGCCACACGCGCACCCACGCAAGTGCGAACTGCTCAGAAAAGAGCTGTGGCAGATAAAAGGTATTCCAGTCTTCCTCACCACTCTGCACCAAAATGCAGGGCGTGGCTATGCAGATACACCACGCCCATCATTAGGTCTTATGGGGGTAGGGCTTATATTTAACAAATGCATAGCAATCCTGCTAGGGCTTATTTTT